CAGAAAATCCACGTCTTATGTTGAATGGGGTAACAAGATGAGTCCCGCGTTGTATCGCTAAGGGATAATTGCAAACGGCTTTCAGTATAGTAGGTAATCATGCCGTAAAATAATAAATATGTTTCAATTCGTGTTGGTTATATAATACCCTCCAAACCTGTATCGTTTTATCTTCCGTTCAATTATTCTTTATTAAAGTCCCAATTACATATTTTCTTTGCACTCTTCTGTGGGAGCAGCCAACGATAAAATGGATTGCCACCTTGGATGGACTTCAAACGTCAAAACTCTACGAAATAAGTTCAAATCTCTTTTTGCAGTAAATACTGTGCTACGACATTTCTAAGGATCATCCTTTTTCGTTGATCTCCATCCTTTTCTCCTTCTCCTAACACATTCTAGAGCCATACATTTTCGCACATATATAGATAAATAATCCCTGAGTAGGTGCATCACTTCTCAGCCAAATGGAGCCCCAAGGTGTGGGAGATCCGAATTAAATTTTGCGATGAAAGATTGTTGGACGCTGCGTAGCGAAGGAGCTTCTATAGAACGTAACGAGAGGATTGCCACAATGTATATGGTAGGCAAAGTACATCATAATGGTAGGGAAACTACTGTACTTTGACCTACATTAACAGCTTGGCTTAATGTCCGTAGAATTTAACAGCTTATTTCTGAACTATTTGTTCCTATTCTTTTGAAATTTATTTGTTCTGCCAGTGAAAATTTTTAAATTTATTTGATGTTCTGCCAGTGAAAAGTAAAAACACACAGAAATGCTTCAGATGTCAGAACACACATCAGTCATGTGACGGTCATGCGTGTCGATCAAGGTTTAAATAATTGACCTTTTCAAACATTTTATTCAAGGATGATAAACGAGATCGACAATTAATATGGATGTCACTTAACACAAATCTAAGTAAATAGATTAAGTAAATCTGAGCACAGGAGAAACGGAGCACACGAACGTCAGGACATGTAATTGCTTCAAACACCATAATTTCCCTGCATAGAAATTATTCATCTTCATAACACTGAATGATATAAAAAAGAATTAATTATTTAGCCCACAGATTTCAGACTGAGAAATTTCAAGTGCTAATCAGGATCATCCAATTACCGAATCAGACAACATCCTTGCTCATATTGTTAATTGTCACAGCTTCAACATTTCTGCTGGTAATTTAACAATAGAAAATAATACCTATTTATGTCTGGAATATTGGGTCATGTGTTTTCAATGTATCTTAGAAGAACTTAACATCAGTATCTTAAAGGACACAGCTCGCATACACGAAGACTTATTAACTAGAGCACACTAAATGTTAATGCCGATTTTGTCGATCGATTGGCAGGCCGATTTTATCAATTTCACTAAATTGGTCAGAAATAAATTCACTGTAAAAGACAATTATTAGCGAAAACATAAATACCTGCGAAATATTATATCACAATTGATTTTTACCCAAAATAATTTGCTTCTCCATAATTCCGATTTGGTTCGTTTATACTACCATATCGGATGATGCAGTCGAGGCATGTTACCTCCAAAAATTCTCACTTTCTTCGGAATGCAAACTTTCGTATATGGAGCTGACTAAAAATGTTAATTTTAACGCTTAGATTTATTCGAGGGCAATAAAACCTCCAGTTTTATTAGTCACCGAGGCGGCTTCCATGCTGGCCCGCGCCACTGTGTATGACGCATCCACTTATTCCACAATAGATGTTTTCCATAAAGTTTCCTTTCGACAGGCAGAGTGCCTGCTGTTTTACAAACACAGTGTTGACATTAACATTGTCAGACAGCATCCGTCAACCAGTTTTACTTCTTTTGAGCACGATGAAAACTACGGGCATACACGTTATATAGGTCTTGACGTTCCAACCTGTGGAGCGGATGTGATTTTGGTTGCATGAGTAACACAATTTTAAGCTACACATTTTTAATTATGACTTATCGATACTTCCACCTTGAATTAGTCCATAAGTCAATTCACTTTAGGATTTTCGTTTAACGATGGAACTTGCAAGTTCAGAGAAATTTGAGCTTCCGCTAAACACTATTGTAGGAGCACCTGACGTCGGAGCGTCACACAGGCGCACCGAAGCACTGACACCGCATGACTAAACTTCCGGTCATCATTCCCGCCTCAAACGCTGGTCTATGTAATGCAATCAGCTTCCGAAAACACGACTTGATTGCATGCAACTCTATATACACCAGAGTAGATAGCAAAAGGAGCCTATCGTCACACTTTCCATAAACAGCTTAAATCATAGGTTACCACAATCATTTACCCCGAATCTTGCCCAACAAAATTAACCAATTACCTTCAATATTATTACGAACAATTACCCCCGAACCTGCATAAACAGGATACCGATCATTTACCCAACAAAATTAACCAATTACCTCCGAAATCATGAGTTAACGACCATTTACCCCGATTTTACTGCACTCTTTAACCGAGAATAACCTAGAGCGAGATGCTGGTGGGTTCCTCCAGCACTGCATGATTACGATGCTGGTGGGTTCCTCCAGCACTGCATGATGACGATGCTGGTGGGTTCCTCCAGCAAAGTGCAAGCGACGGTCTTGTGAGCTTGTCTCAGGGGCTCCCCTGTCCTCCAGACTGTAGGTGGCAGGCGAGACGGTCTCAATGTCGTGGTTGTTAGTCCAATACTCTAATGTAGTCCAAATGATGAAGAAGTCTACAACCTCCTTTGAAGGAAAATTTAGCGACTACATGGGCTTTTTGCAGGGTCCATATATAGTTGCGTATAGTCCGGAGCTTGACTTTGTTGCCAAGAGTGTCACCAGACCAGTTAAATTCAGCGAATTTATTTTTGTATTTTTATTTGTATTTTTACTTTAAATTTATCAATTTGCTCTTGATCAAACTCCAGGTAATCAATACTTTCAAATTTATTGATGGCATCATTTTGATAATGTCCCCGAATCCCATGACTAATTATATGTCGTATTTGCGGGATAAACCTGATTATTTAACAGGTATTCAATACTGTTCCAATACTGTTCCAATACTGTTCCAAGTCGCATAGGGTGATGCGAGCTGAACCTATATCATTTGATCTCCGATTCAAATATTATGGGGTCAGATCGCCTACTTCATTCCGATAGCTCAAGGGAAGTTAGCGCACCGGAAGCGATGGACATAGTTGACCCGTATGCTTTGTACATATTTGTTTCATAGTACATATTTGTTTGTACAGGCGTATTGTTCCGAAGCACTTGTAGATCTCTTATACGGAAATCGTGATATAAAATAACTTGCTCATAATAGGCTTGGTCACCAGTTCGAACACGTTCTAATTGTGCTAGATGGTCAACACCGACATGATAGAGAACCGAGAACGTTCAATAACAAAATTTAATTAAGCTGTTAAAAATTTCAACTACGAATATATCTGCAGGAGCAACTTTTGTTGCTGCTCAAGCAGACGTGTGCCCAAAGCTGCATATTTTTATTGCTGGAAAAATCATTAGTGCGTTGTCTTGCAGAAACGTGGACTTCACGCAGTTTTAAATCAAGGAAGCAATTCCACAATCACTCTAAATGTCGTTTTATTTTCTGTTCAGCGTTTTAAAGTGCAATGGCATTTACAACTAAGTTGTTTTAAAATTGTATACGGCTCATTAAATGAGCAAAACGATTCAATGAATCTTTAAATAAAAAAGCATTTGTCAATCGACACAACATTCCTGCTTCACCATTGGTTGTGTGCTGAGACATTACTGGCCTACGACAACGTTGCCAGCTGGCGGCACTGGAAAACAGCATGTAAATTTTTTGCGTCATTTTTCATGGTTAGTGAACTTATCTCCATCCAGCCCCTGACTAGGGGCTGGCAGTCAGATCTTGAGGCAGTCAGACCAGGTGGCAGTCAGACTTTGAGGCAGTCAGACCAGGTGGCAGTCAGACCTTGAGGCAGTCAGACCAGCGTCTGACATGAGCCATCATGATGTAGCCTGACCTGACCGGCGTCTGATCAGTGCTGCCATGAGGCAGCCTTGTCAGCGCCTGACCAGGAGCAGACTGATCATCGTCTGACCAGGCTCATCAGGAGCCAGCTTGACCAACACGATACACCAACCTAGCTTCTGAAATCGTGAGACAACATGACCAGCTGCTCTTTTCGGGAACATTACGCTGATTCGATGTTCCGATCTCAGAAAGATGCCGCTAAATAGCAGCCTAATGCAGTAGTTGGCCGCTCTGCGCCTGACTCCTCTTTAAGGTGGTGCATGAGAGCCGCGAGCCCTCAGGCAGGCTTGGTTGGATCCCTATGGGAATCTATCACTACGTATAGTCATTAAAACTCCGCTCGTAAATGAAATATCAATCTGAATTTTGTCATGCCTATTCAGCTATTTATTTACAATTTCTCTACAGTAACAAAAAATATGTAAATTTTGTCTAACATTAATTATGATAGAGGACAAGGTTTCTCATCGATCAATCAATGTTCATTATACTATATGCGACTTACCTAATTTTGTGAGACACAAGGATGTAGTACTATTTATTCTCTATTGATCGGTATTAAAGACATATCTGAATACAGACAGACAGACAGACAAGAAGTGAAGTTAAAGAGAAGTGTTGTAATGAGGGGAAACGCACGTCGTAAATTACCCGCCTGTCACTCTTGCGGTGAAGGGGAGCACAATGAGGGGCGAGTAATAATAGATAGCCAATGGTCGGCCGAGGCCAGTTAGTTCTAGCCGACCGCAGGCCATTCCTCGGCCACATAAGAGACGGCCGCAGCCCTAAGATGGGTGCTGGCTCAGGTATCATATTACATAGGCAACAAGCTCGAGCACAGCAACTTGCCGATCTGAACACAGAACAAGGGTTCCACATCCTTGTCGCGAATTTCTCGCTCACGGACTTCGCCGTACTGTGACGACTGGCCTTAAGCCGACATCACTACCCCTGAAGCGGCCCAAATTGGAATGAAAAAGAAGACTAGGATGAAAATTTATTTCATGCTATAAGGTTAGCGGTGTACAATAATAAGGTGAAAAAAGCACTAACGCCCGCATATCCCAAGCGAGGAATTTCACACAAGCTTATTATTGTCATTGCCTTAATAAACCTGAACTCCAATATCCCCCAGGTGAAGCAACGTCATAATATCAAGAAGCTTTCGCTAGTGGGCTATTACAACCAAGTAATTATCCGTGACAAATAATAGTTTTTATATTCTTTGTCTATGATGCAACAATAGTCGCTACCTATCACATAAGTTGAAATGGGTACATCATCCATGAAAGTGATCAAGGCACGTGAAATAAATATTCAGTTTTAATGAGGCAAAGCTTCCTGCAGATTGATTGCAGTATGAATTCGTAGGAATCCAGAGGGCTTTCATTTGAAGAGGCAGCATTTGCAATGTGGATCCGCACAACCGGTATATCCAGTCGTGGCTCTGAATGCGTGTTGTTTGCCACACCTGCCCCAGACGTTCTCGCACCAGCCGACATTACCCTGGTATGCAAATCACATCGTAGAATTAAACTAGATAAAAACAATATCTTTGTTATTAAAAGTTTGCAAGAATAATCAGTATTTGGGTTGATTGGTTGAATTTTTTGTTCTAAATGACGGAATCAGAGAATATTATATCAATCAAGTTGCTCAATAATATCGGTTGATAAGTTATCAATTAGGTTTTTATTTCATGCGCATCGCATGTGAAAATTAAACGGTGATGCTCAACATCTGGGGAATGTTAATTAGTAAACATGATCTCTTGAGACGGTTTGGTGAGAAAATCAAAAAAAGGATAAAAATACCTAGGGAACAACATTTTGGCTGCACAATACTTTGAACGACAGTAAAGTTTCCTGTATTGATCCCTTATTATGCAATATTCATCTGAAAATAGAGAATATGAAACTGATATGCGAAATACGCTGAAACCAACCGAGTTACACATTCATTTTAAAATCTCCCCCTTCACTCAAAAAATAGTGAGTTTAAATTTAAATGCAACGAAATACTCTCACTTGGCACCTGAATGCTCTTGACAGGCGCATAATTGCACCTTTAAGAAACTAAATCAACTCACCAGTCGGCAAAAGTAATTTTTCTATTCAAATTAATTGCTCTCACCTGGTCGTCGTAGCAACGGCCGCTGCATGGCTCCAATTCTCCATTCTTGAACTTCTGTATGTAATCACCAACTATGTGGATATAGGAATCAATCAATAATTTTATGCAAATCAATACACAAATATTGCTTTCCAAAATCTTTAACATGTCAGTTCAACTTCTGTCAATACTCAAATTAGAAAAGATTTCTAAATTACCACGTTTTTCTTGACTTCGTTTCGTGTGTGTCTGTCATCAAATATTCAAACCTTAATTTAGAGTACTTCTAAACATCCTAGTAAGTTGAAATTTGGCATGCATGTTTATGCTGCCTAACAATTCAAGATTTGGTCATCAGAAATAATAATTATAAAATTTTTTTTATTAAAAAGTAAAAAAAAAACACTAAAAATTCACTGTTTGTAATTAAGTTTTTTCTCGAACATCCACACTTGCCAACCCTGGATATTGATTTGAATTGCTAAAATTGCTAACTAAAAAGCAGAAAATAAATAAATATAAAAAATATTTTTAAAAACCACGTTTTCCTGGTTTTTACAAAACTAAAAATAGTGAAATACAACAAATAAAAAAACTTAAAAAAACACGTTTTCTTAACGGACAAAAAAGAAAAAGATTTACTCTTACTCTTACATAACATTACATTACATTTTACATAACTTGAATGTTATATAAGAGTAAATGTTTTCCTTTTTTGTCCGTTAAGAAAACGTAATTTTTTAAAGTTTTTTCATTTGTTTTATTTGAAAAAGAATTTTAGCATTCATGAACAGAACATTATACGCAAATGTCTGCGTGAAACTCGAAAATACAAGAGGAATCTCACCAACCAAATGCAATAGGATAAGGTCCTGCACGCTATGCGTGAACATTTCAAGACTTCTTTTTTTTTCTGGGCTTTCTGTCGTTCAAAATACGATATGTTTTCAATGATATAAAGCAATGAGAATATCCGGTTGTCAGTAGCTCATAATTAAAGAGAGCATTTCTTCAGCAAGATTGGATTGCGGTTTCCACATATATCTAAGCTCTGCAATACCTACGATACGAGACATGTTTGCCAATGAAGATCCACTTACTAATTCCTCGTGACTCCATGGCTGCATCTCCTTCTGCTTCCTAGTATATGTGAAAGATTTTCATTAATTTAGACGGATTATATATTGCCCGTGAACAACTTAAACTGTTGAATAATTCAAAAATCGGTGGTAAAATGTGATTATTTTGAATGCAAGGAATTGGCTGGCCATTCTGCGATCTAAGGTGCACTATAAATGCATTAGTTGAGTTGAAGTCGTACACAGAAAGCGAATTTCTTAGCAATTTTTTGAATCCATGCATGTTGAAATCTTGTTGTAGTAAACTGCTTCATTTGCGCCGCCGCGCCGATGCATATGTGTTTCAAATGTTCAATATCTAATGAAGATTTTCATGACAAACAATGACTGAGGAAAAATACTTAATTTAAAATAACAAATTTTAAACAAAAAAGTTATTTAGCTACACAGTTTGGCCACTCAATACCTTGGCGGAGACAGCGGCTCCCACCAGCATCAGCATCACCGGTATAATCAGCTTCATGGCGCTGTATAGAAAAACACAAAATTAGCATGGCAAATCTGCAGTATAAACCATCAGCACTGATATTCATCACTGGTGTAATTCACATTGTAGTGCCTAATCCATATTGTAGTTCTACTATTTATAATCAGCACAAATGACATAATAACTCTATGAGAAATTTCTCAAAAAAATATTTAAAATCTTTAGATGCTCCAAGTTCGCTACTTCGATGCATAGGATTCGAGTACTTCATGTAATCTCAAAGCAGTAAAGCAGTAGCAAAATGCACTGAAGAGCTCTAGCACCGGCTGCCTTGATCTGTGACAACATTGTTACCCAAAATACGAATGAAAAGAAAACGCACATGTTTTCAGTTGCTGAGGCGTTGAGTTGATGAGATGAGGCGTTGAGTTGATGAGATGAGGCGTTGATTTTTCGTGTCAAGTCGTTGGAGGTTGCTGCGGCACTGAGCCCTGCGTCGGCCACCGCCAGGTTAAATGACCCGCGGGGGGCGCCGCGATCACGAAACTTGGCGATATTTTCCAGCAGGTGTCCTGGCTCACCGCTGC